TTTTATACATTGTTTTTACCGTTTATCAGAGTTAAATATACGGATATTTGTTACAGGGTATATTTGCCCTACTTGTTTTCTTGAGCTTTTAAAAACTTTTAAGGGTTTTTCAGCTTTTTATAACAAACATATACATTAACTTGTACTGCAAAACTGCAAATATATTAAGGTGGACCCCTTTGAGGTTAACAAATAAAACTGACCCAAGTGCAAAAAACACAGTTCAGTGATGGACCCCCAAACATGGGTGTTGTGAAAATTGTGTGAAAATGTTACTGTTTAAAAATGGTGACTTTTGCCACCTGTAACTGGGCGATAGGGAGCTAATCCACCGCAGGAGTTATGCAGAGATTGGTTTTGATCATGAGGATGTTGCAGGAAGGCATGATCAATTTGGCAGCAAATTTCAAGAAACGAAAATTGTCACATATAAGTTTCTGTTAGTTGCATGTGTGGTAAAAGAAGAAGGGAATTGTGTGCACAGCTCTAAAACAAACAAACAAACAAACAAATAAAAAAAAACATGTTTTATTTTAGCTTACAGTCACACAACTTTTTCAAAAGTAAAGTTTTCACAACTCTTTAGACATTAGCAAAAAAGCACTCTGTGTACAGATTCTTACGAGAAATCTCTGTGCAAGTCTCAATATATATTTGCCTTTGTCTCCAAACAAGATAATGTTTGTCTGGGCAGACTGGGCGCATTTGGTTACTGTGCTCCATAGGGTTACTTTAATGCATCTGTAGTCCTCCCAGCTTGGCCAGCAGAGAATCATGGCAGCCTCACACTGCACATTTCCAACAACAAAGGATTACAATACATTATATGGAGCACAATGACTCACAAAGAAGAATAATGGGTTTAACGAGTGGTTTTCCCTCCCTCACACGGAGACTTTGCATACGTATAATTATTCCCGCCTATGTTTATCCCTGGATATTCTGTAATGACTCAAGTTATTGTGCTTTCACTACAAAAATCATGGAGTCTTTGAAAACAGCCTGCACCTTATTACTGAGACCAATCTTTATAGCATAGCGACTTTGAAAAAAAAGTTAATGAGTCTAAGATTTAATAGATAATTGAGGAGGCAGCTGAAAGTCAATTTAAAATTAGAAGTCTATTTGTTCATAATGTGAGAATAGATATGATTGAGATATGTGGAAAAGTTTCACACAGAACAATATAAAATAAGTCAAAAATTGATTTTTCCTGTCTTCAGAAAAGTGAAAAAGAAAAAAAGAAAACATTATGTTTTTTTTTTCTTTTTCTTAAATATTTCTAATGGGACAATTAACATAAAATTCTCATCAAATCTCAGAAGCAATCCAAGCAATCCACACATTCAGAAAAACAGTTTTGTTTTACAATTGCAATGACAAAAAGTAGTTTTCAACACTCTTGCATATTACATTCAACCCTTTGTTGAAAGGCCTCTCTTGGCAACAGCAATATCAAGCTACAATGGAGAAACTAATCACATGCATTGCTCACCTGTTCTCACACAAACTCTCTTCAAAATCCAAAAGGTTCTGTGGGTTCTTTCTATGCAGTCTGATCTTCAGTTCTTTCAATAGATTTGCAAGTGGATACAAGTCAAGCGCTTAACTGGGCCATTCTTCAAGTTTTTGCTTCCACTCTAAAAGCCAGTTAAGAGTTTCCTTGGCCTTGGGTACAGGAATACCGTCTTGCTTGGAAATCCAATCTAGTTTTGTTTGCAGATTTTTATCAAATATGTCCACACCAGGATGCGAAATCCCCCTTTTGGCCCGGTGGTTCTGGTCTGAGGTGCAACAGAACCATCATTTCTTCAAACAATGTGTGCGATGACATCGAAAGTATTCAGATTTAGACTTATGTGACCAGACTATTTTCCAGTACTTCACTGGCTTGTCCAAACCTTCTGAGTCAAAAATCAAGTTTTGATTGTAAATGTAATTAGTTGTTTCTAAATGATTGCATTGTAGAAGATTTCTCTTCCACAGTAGGCCCTGTGAACCACGTCTGAGCACTAATGGAAATATCGCCCTTTTTTTTTTGTTTTTTTTTTTTTAATAAGTGTTCCTTAAGCACTAAACCACGAGGGCTTAATGTGCCAATCTAGTACATTAGAGATCACAAACTCACTGACCGATGCTGACCCTCGAACCGGTGATTGCACCTAACACAATGCTGGAATGTATCACATTAGCCGGGCAGTTAGTTATAATCATTGCCACTCGGTTGGCAGAGAGAGTTGAGTGCCACTTCAGCTCTAACAATAAAGTGACAGAGACAGGCAAGACAAACAGAAGTGGAGATAAAACGGGGTTCCAGCAGAGAGTGCTTATGTCCACGATGACGACGGCTATATTTTGCATCGGTTTGAGTCATGTGACCTTGGCTGTACAATTATGGTTCTGGGTTCTGCTGCACTGAAAGCAGCTCAATGACATTTTACTACTTTGCCGTGAGTAGACAGGACCGCATTGATTGCCACCAGAACTGTTTGTCGACTGGGTCTTACTGCATTTCATCAGAGTTAAGCGGTTCAATTGCAGTGCGAAATGAGGGGGTAGAGAGAACGGAGCCTTATGCAGTCTCTAAAAAAACAAAATGCAGCACAATGCGGAGACGGTTCGGAAAGATGAATGCGTCTGCCCTTTGTCTCTAAAAGAAACATTTCGGTTCAAGTCAAATGTATCTGTGTGGCACGTTTCAGGAGAAAGGGAGTTCAAATTGATTTACACTATAAAACGACACAAGAACCAATTATTATGAAACGAGCAACAAACGTTACATTTTGTCAAATGCCATCATCAAAGTCATCAAGAATAATTAACATCATAATATATTAATCAATATTCCAGTTGTTATTGCTTAAGGGACACTCTACGCAGGTGCATTTTTGCCTTTATTTACAGGATCTCACTGTTTTGCATCTCTGACTCAGCTGTCCAACTGCTTTAAAAATACGCCATGGTCAACAGTGTTAAAAGTTGCGCTGAGGTTCCAACAGAACCAGCACTGTGGTTCTGCCACGGTCCATATTTATGTGCATAGTAAGGTAAGGTAAGGTAATTTTATTTATATAGCACATTTTCAGCCACAAGGCAATTCAAAGTATTGAACACTTTGACAAGGAAAGTCTTGGTACTGTGGTGAGAATGGAAACTGGACTGAAAGACATCAAAGCAGTTTGTTATTGTTAAGAACCTATTTAGCTGTTGAACCACAGCTTTTTCAATCATTTTGCTGAGGACTGGAAAGCTGGAAACTGGGCTATAGTTTTGTTTTTATTTATTTTTTTATTAAAGATACATATATATATATATATATATATATATATATATATATATATATATATATATATATATATATATATATAAAACATCAGATGTACTGCAGTTCCTGCCTGTCACAGTTAAGGTCAGTACTCATGATTCAACAATAAGAAAGAGAGTCTAGGTAAAAATGGCCTCCATGGGAGGGTTCCAGGGCCAAAACCACTGCTGACCAAAAAGCACATAACTGTTCCCAAGCCTTCTGGGAAAATATTTTGTCAATTTGCAAGATGACAAAGTAACTTTCTGGGAGGTGTGTGTCATGCCACATCTGACCTAAAACTAACAGAGCATTTCAGAAACAGAGCACCAATACTGACAGTAAACCATGTGCTGATAAACTGAATATCTGCGTAGTTTAAGATTAAACTGTTTTATTTTTGGGTCGTTGCTTGAACATTTGAGCAGCACTTTCACAAATGATGTAGTCTAAAACATAAATTGGGTCACTAGGAAGAAGCAAAGCTTATGTCTGTCAAAGTCTGCGGCAGTCTCGCTTAGTTTGAGGTCAATTTATGTATGGCACAGCATTGGACGAAAAGGCAATAGAGGAGAGCTATTTACTTTCATCAACATATTTTTATATGCCAATAAAAGGCAAGGCAGATACTCAATAGGCCAATGGGGATTTAAGAATGATCTTTAGGCAGGAGGGGAAATCTTTGGGATACAAAATTTCCTTTCAAAGTATTACCATTATGTCGCAATGCTCAATTTTGCTGATTGCTGAACACAAAAGTAATAAAATCAAAGAATGATAAAACACTACTGAGTACTAGTACACACAGCAAGTACATACTGCTGTGTACATGCAATTTAAGCAAAGATATATAAGCAACTTAACTGTCCAGTTCAAAAATTATACCAAATTGAAGCTACACAGTTTCATTATTATTACTTTAGAGCCCGCAGCTTCAAACAGAATATGTTACAAACCTGGTTTTGTCAAACCGTTTCATTAACTGGAGAAAATACAGATTTCCCAAACCTTGGATGACAAATTGACATGTTACAGTCGCACCTCACTGCATCCTCATAAGAAGCGGCTGAGGGAAGATACACAATACTACACAAAGAAAAGCACACATGGTGCCAATGCGTGCTTGACACAAAATGTAAACAACTAGCAAACAGAGCAAAAGAACCTAAAGAAAAACATTTTCTTTTTCTAAGGTCAACAGCTTGCTTATAACAAAGAAGAAACTTCAGAAATACTGTTTGTCTGGTAGCAACTGTGAAACTTTCAGAAGTTAGAAGTAAAATTATGCAGAGATGCTGGAAAGTATAGAAACTAGAACAGAACAACTCGCGGTCATGGATTGAGTGTTTGTGGTCTTTGATGAGCGAAATGTGGCCCTTCTCCCAGAGCATCATTCATAACGGGGGCAGGACAACATGAACAACTTCTCTACTGCTTACTAAGATGTCTATTGCTGTTGGAATAGTATACAATAGAAGAAATATGACCACACTTTGTAGCCAGCTAATAAAAGAGTTGGCGTTTATTTCGCAAATTCAGTTTAAACACTTAACCTTAGGATTGTAGCTACACAAGTAAATGGCCGTACATATTGTCCCAATATTTTCATACTTACTGCATATTTTACATCTAATTTTCATACACGTAGAACGGATGAGAGAGCAAGCACTGGTTGTCTATTCCTTCGATAACTCACCTGAGTGTGGGATGAGTGGGTGCTCCGTCTTGTGGCAGGGAGATTCAGGCAGCAGCACCGGCCCTCTCCTGCTGGCAACACCACAAGGGCGCAGTACCAACATGCACTGCAACAGCAGCAGCGCATGCTGGATAACAGGGCGTCCCATGGGGGTCTGGGCTTTGCTTCTTTTCTCCTTAGGCCTCAAAGGCCAAGAGCAAGAGGGCACACCTGGTAGGACAGGAGGAGAAAATGACAGATTAATGCTTAGGGAAAACGTGTGATCTGCATACAGTTTCAGTTTGGCCACGATAAATCTTCGTCATCTGCTGTATTCCCTAAAGTGTTTAGACGAGGAAATGAGAAAAAAGATATACGTTCCGACTGAGAAGCAGAGGCGAGAAGGGGAGCGAATGTGAAAGACGAAAAGGACAATATTCTGCAGATTTTGGCAGAGGTGTGTGAACTTCTCACAGGCACAGAGGGACTTTTCACCAGTGACGCCGAGTGCATGAATCAGACATGGTCTGCATTACCTCACTCACCTAAGGTGGGCATCGATGTCCGTTAGTGGCAGAAATATGCCTCCTTTGACGAAGTTTTTGTTCCCAGTGAGGTTAAACCTTGAAATATTTCTTCAAGGAGCGCGGAAGCAGCTCTCTGCATTTTGTGTATTTATGTGTTTTTTACATTATTTATAGTTTATAACTTTTTGTGTGCCAGTGAGTAAAACTTCACCTGCTTCCCTAAGGGTCAACTGAATGCTTTGTGCTGCTGTAAATCTTTTTTTTTTTTTTTGTATTCACAGCTGAGGCCCTCTGATTACAGAACGCGATTATTATGTTACGCATCAAACAGATTTATGCTGGATGGAAAACTCAGTCGCAGCAAGAAAAACAAGGGAGTTTGCACAGCTCAGTTGTTCATAATTTCTTTCTTTGTGGGGGTGAATTGATGAGCTGTCTAGACCACCTACATCATTAATTTTTAATCATTAATATGATGCTATTGCAGGAATGATTCACGCTGCGAGCAGCAGAAGCAGGAGAGCTCCACTGACTTTGCATGGCTCATCACTGGCAGCAATTGGTGGTGAAGTGAGTAAAGATAGTGAAGATTATAATGGAAATCATTGGTTTCATTTTTCCCAAAAGGTATTTCCAGTTGAAATTGAAGAACACTTCTATTTTCTTTATTTCATGTGAGCTGTGGGTTTCATTTGTTATGCTGACGAAAAGAAAAACCGACAACAACAAAAAAAAAAACAGAACAACTCTCTCTCCTGGATGGAGTCGATTTAGTGTACATTGCAGGTAGCAAATAGTAAAAATAAAAAGATTAATTTTGTCTTCATGCATGAAGGTAGAAAATCAGCTTGCTGACAAAAAAAAAAAAAGCAAAACAAAGCCTAACTCTCTCTGTAGGCAAACCTTGCCTCCACTGTTCCCTGAAGTGTGAATCTTCCTTCAAGCTTGAACTGACGGTGGGGTGCAACATGAGACGCGTTTCTGTTCAAATTCTCAAATAAGATCACAACGGTGAAAGTTTCTTCCCGTTTTTTTGTCTTGAATTTCTTGAAAGGTTAAATTGAGTTCTGTTTGCAGGATCTCGGGGCATATTTCTGTGAGGCACAGGCGAGAGGAGATTTAATGCAAAGCACCTGTCATCTGCAGAGTAGAAAGCAACACCCTGACAGTTTCTCACTAAAGCCCATTTCCCTTTTGTCTTGGTACTTCTCACATCAGCTTCTGCAGTCCTTTTCTTTCATTTTAGTCGTTTCAAAGTCCATTTCCCTCTCCTGCTAGTTGCCTCTGCGATCCATAACAACATTTTCCTCAACAAAATCCAATCTCACCCTCTAGACTTATGCCTAGGACTTTCTTTCAACTGTTGGTCCCCTAATGTTTTATGTCTGCATTCGCTTAAAAAGAATATGTCACAATCTGCAGAGCAAAGAGGTGTCTCTAACTAAGGAAATTAGATATGGTGAGTGTTTACGTGGAACAGAGATTTAGTCTCTTGCATTCACAGGAATTTCTGTAAGCGAATGTGCAAGCACAAGTGGCTTTCACACATGCAATGAGGTAGCAGAAAGAAGCTTAAGCTCAGATCAGCATGTAGAAAAACCCGAGTTAAATCTTTCTCTCAAAAAAAAAAAACATGCATGTTTTCAAGCGTGCCTCCGCACGTGAATTCTCGGCTAGAAAGAGCCACCGTGAGATTGTAAAATTATTAAGAACGCACCATGACACAGACTATCAATCAGAACATAGATGGTCTTTGCAAGACCTCGACAATGTTTTCTGGTGTACATCAAGGACACAGTGCAATCTGCATAAATCATTAGTAAAATCAGAGTTGTTCATTAATATGGGGATTCAACATGGGTCCCTGTCATTCCCAAGCCAAGGTTACAACATTAACCTTAGGCTGGGTTTAAACTCATCCGACTAACTCATTACGATGCATTCAGTGGCACGGCCGCCTGCTGGGGCAGAATGTGCACCAATTAAACAGAATTTTAAAAAGACATCTTTACCCCCAAAATGCGAGGCAATTATAAGCTCAATTCGACGGCAAGTTTGTGACGCACTCGTCTTCCCCACTGGTGAAGGGCTCTCGGATGGGGAGAAACACGCAGACCTCCAAACTGCATAAACCTTTTAACGTATCCTCCAAACTTTTGACCCAAAACGGGGTTTAAGATTTTTCAAGTTGTGTTTTTTGAGAAGAGGAGGGGCAAGAAGGAAGACAATATGCAAGTCGGATTAAATAGTGTTTATATTATATCAAGTCCTTATTATTAAGTAGCTTTTTTCCTGTCGTATTTTTGATTAATCTCCCTTGGTGATAAGTTCCAAATTCAAATCTTTAGCCTCCTCATGACGCTACATTATATATCATCAGTATTGCCTTCACACTGAAATAAGGTTTTCCAAAACAGTTCCAGGGATCCTGGACACCAAAGGAAAGTCTTATTTCAGCATTTAAACACATAGATAGACATTTATGAT